TGATCATCATGTTATATAGACTTGATCAGCGTAAAATTTTTTAACCATTTTTAGTTTCTTCAAGACTAATCGATATTATCATCATCATTACGAATATGAAAAGAACAAGCCGAATAAAAAAATGCAGGCATACCTTTTTAATCATTTCCTTTTCCATTTTCTTTAACTTGAGGATTGCTTCAACCCTTTTTATAGAAATTCCATATTCACCACCAATTTTACGAGGTGTTTGTTCTGCTTCCGTAAATTTTAACCATATCTCTTCTTTGGTTCTATCATTTAATGGAGGTTGGGGTTTAAAGAAAGGATTCATAGGGAAAGGCTACTAAAGCATTTTCAATACATGCCAGGTAAATGTAAATAAAGATTCCAAATACCAATAGATATTTAATAGAGACATTTTTACTTATTGAAACTCAACTGTGGTTGTATTAAGGTAGTTTGGTCCCTTTGAAACGTTAATAAACCTATTCCCTTCATTATTTAACCAAAGCTTATATTTTGGACGACGAACTCTGACAGCTTTTAACGCACGGTTTCCATCTTCTTGAGACATTGGAGTTTTTTCACTTGAAGCTTGTGATTGAACAACACCACCTTCAGCAATAGCATTTTTTTGCGGGGGCGTTGATTCGTTCTTATTAAATAGTATAGGAGTCGAATGGCAAGTTCTTTTAAGTACGGAAAGTATTGGACTTTTGGAATATATAGGAATTAATGATAATGATACTTGCTTTACAAATTTATTTGTTATTAAATGCATTTTTAGGATCAATAACATAAAAGCATTAAAAATTTTCTTTCAATAAAATATAATTTTAAACGAGCCAAAAATTATTAAAGATCAAAGATTTTTTTTTTTTTTTCAAGATTGATTTTCTTTTTTTAACGATAAATCTAAGCCACCAAAAGAAGAATTTGAAAGTATTTTAAATTCATTTATTAATTTATAAACTTAAAAATTCTAAGAAACAACCGGCAATAGCTCAGTTGGTAGAGCGGGAGACTGTAGTAAACCTGTCATCTCTAGGTCGCTAGTTCAAATCTGGCTTGCCGGACTAATATTTTTTATTTTTATTCGACAAATTTATGGTAGAAATTTTCTCCGATCATTCGGAATTTATAAAATCCCATTAAATTTTTAGATGGGAACCTAATCGAAAATTTAAATGCTTTCTGCGGAAGTCTTGAATCGTGAGAGATTTGTAATACGAATAACAAATAAATCATTGTTAATATACTGTACATACAAAAATTGATAACGCATATTTTTGATCGCCGCTTTTTTTGTACTTCATTATAGTTATTTTTTTAAAAAGGATCGCAATTATTATTATTATTGGAGCTAAACTAAGATAAAAGAAATAAAGAAAAAAAAAGATCTATTTCAAAATAATAAAGATCAAAGAAAAACAAATACATCATTATCTTTTTTATCTTCAATAAATCGTAGTTGATTATCTCCTTTCAAAGTTTTTCATTCGAAATTTAAAATTGGTCAAATTAAAAGACTCGCACCATTGATTTTTCTCATAACCAAAATACCGTTTATTTTATGTTACGCGATAACTCTTAAATTATTTAAGTATTTCATTATAAAAATAATATTAAAAATAAACTTACAATCGTTTTCCATAATTAGGATAAGAACAAAGTAAAAATTATTTACCCATTTGATTAGTGTGACACGAGATTCATGGGGCATTGATACTTTTAAAAATACCGTTTATTTATTTTATCAAAATACGCAAGATTAAACAGATGTTACATAAAGAGAATATTTTTAATTAATTCCTATACAAAAATTTAATCAATCGTTAAGGTTTGTTTACCTGATGTATCAATCTTCTTCTGTTAAACGCCCACTCGGTTGTATAGCAATGAATTCATAACATATTTATAAATACCTACTTGGCAATTAAAAGAAAAGTTCATCTTTTTTTTTAAAAAAAAAAAGAAGAGAAGAAAAAAGAACGAAATTAAATCAAACATATTTGTTCTTATTGTATTCTTTTAAAATGTCTGTTCAACATAAAACAGTATTGAACGATTTTCTAAATCGCATAAATTATAATAATATTTATCTGTTTCCTTATAATAATAATGCACAAATATTTGCGGCTCTTGCAAGAAATGGTAGAAGATTTCAAAGATTAACAGGAAAAGGTTTAATGAAACGAAATATTATTCGTGAAGCCTACCGATTACGTATACGAAGACAACATATAATTAATTTAGCGACAAATAAAATTTGGAATATGGTCTTAACAACTTCTCAACGAAATCGTTTTAATTCTTTAGCTGAGAATGTTAACCATATAAATCGAACGATGAATGACGCGAAAAATAATACTCTTGACAGAATCACACAAATAACGATGCCACAAGCGACCAATAATCTCTATGAAAATAATTTTTTTAACGGGACAAATTTTCCTTAAAAATCATTTATCTTATTTTATCACCTTTTTTTTTTATATAAATATACTTATATATTATTATTTGGCGCTTGCAGTAAGGATAGAAAAGTGAAAGGAAAAAAAAATATATTTTATATATACCGAACTCATTTCAGTTTTCTCGTGCCTTTATACTGCTTATACTGCATTAGTAAATATTTCTAGCGAGCATAAAATTAAAATAAAAATCATATTCAATCGGTAACAGTTTGATGAATGTAATATGAAAAGTTTTTTAACACAAAAGCAGCAAAAATCATGTAAATTCAAACAATTTCTCATGGTTTCACTAATAAGAGACCTTTACATTTGTTGAATCATTAGTTTATAAAAGCGAGTAATGAACAATCATTTATTTTTATCTTTAAATTGGGAACGCCATTTTGGAAATTTCTTGAAATTGGTGTATATACCATACCGTATTATGACCATCTTTAAAGGAATCGCATAATCAGAAATTTTAGCAAATTCCACTTAAAGCAATAGGTAGCACAATGCACAAAAAAGATTATCTTTTAAATAGTTTATTGTATTTTGTCTTATATAGTATTAACGCGCGGAATTTTAAAGCATTGTGAATAGTATTTTCGTCGGCAATAAATTTGAATATCTTGTCAATTTTATTTTTTAAAAAAAAAAAAAAATATTGGCTGGAGAGGAATTCATGTCATTGAATAATAGCGGTGTAACAATAATATAACTTTTATTTTTTAAAATAAAGAGAATTTTATCTAGACATTTTACATAGACGTACAGAGTATCTGTGACTCAAGCAAGAAATGAATTCAATATCAACGGAATAGATTTGATAAATAACGCGTATATTCTTGATTCAAATATCTTCAGATTTAAATTTTGCTGATATTTATTTGATCTGATCTATTTGCCATTTAATGAATTTCTCGTTTTCATTTTGAATGTCATTACTTTCACTTTATTCCCTTTTTTTGAAATCAAACAATTACATCGATTACGTCAATTGTTATGTAAATCCGTGCTATATCCGTGCTAGTCATGATTAACGTAAACATACAAAACAGGTAATATGGTCATGATTTTTCTAGAACCTGCATACGTATAAGATTTCTAATATAACGCTTATCGGGTATTATAAACTTTAATCAAACTTTAAAGGCTTTACATCTTTACATTGTGAATTTGCTTTTCAAGGACGGTCGTAAATCATTTATGATATTTTTTTTATCCATGATCTTTATTTGCTTTATTCTTTTTTTAGAAAAGATTTTGCTAATGTACAGTATATGTTATTTTAAAAAGGATTATGATTGATAATCAATTGGCGCTGCTTTGTTTTACACAATCTTCTTAAAAAGTACTTTCATTTTCTTCTTTTTAACATTATCCCTTTACGACCTAAACGTCATATACTTCCTTTATTTGTGTGGGGTTAGAGTTAAGTTTAAGCAGGGGTCTGGGAAGTTTATACGTTGCCTTTGAAAATTACATAATAGTCTTTTAGTAGATTCGAGAGCGGATTTAGCTTTAGAGTTAGCACGTAAAATTGGTAGGTCTAGGTAATGAGTTATGGTTATTGTATTAATAATTCGTTAAAATTATACTGTGCTACGTCATGTAAGTTGTAGAAAATCAAAAAAAAAATTTTTATTATTTTCATAAAATATCGTAATATCACATGATCTGATATTACGCCCTTGGTTTAAGTCATTAAATGGTCGTTATACCATAAATGAAAAAATAGATTAAATGAAAAAAAAACACAAAGCCAGTACTTTTTACGGAACAGGTGTTTTAGCGGATGCTTCATGAGCTTCGTCCCACAGTACCAACTTCACATCTCAGTCTTTTTTTTTTGATTCTATCACACGTTATTGTTTATAAAACATTTAATTTCTCATTACTATAGAAGGTGACTTATCATAATGGTATTTTACATGTTTTGCCTAAAATTGTTGACCATAAATAATCACATTTACTTCATGGATAAGGTGTGAAGGCTCTTTATCATTGAAATTTTTTGCCAAGAAATGAACTGTACTACTAAATAAAATCCAAACATATTTTTTGGAAGATTTGGTGCATCATCCTAACTTATTAAAAAAAAATTGAAAATGTACGAAAGAATATGAGCGAAAAAGTTGATTTGTTTATGTGGTGGGAGGGGGAAGAAATCTTATTTTCTTTTGATAAAAAATGTATTTACATACAGAATTATGTACAGCACAGCAGATACAGGTGTACGGATTAGCAAATATGAACCTTATAAAATTGAAAGATTTTCATTTGTCACTCTTAAATGAAAGGGATCGTGTCACCAAAAAACTTGGATCATTTGTATTCGGTAAAATCCGTGAATTACGTTATAACAATGTGAAAAAATCAAGTTTAAGGAATGGTCAAATTTAATAAATTTATTCAATGTAAATTAATGATTAAGAATGTGAAAAAAAATGTTGTTTATTAGATTTCCATTAAAGAATTTATAAGTTTGAAAGAAAAGGGGGAATTTAATTGATTTATTTTATAGTTAAGTTAGTGAAAATAATAAATGATGATCTTACATTACTCAAATAAACATGATGCAAATCCCGCTGGTAAATTCAAATCTTTGTTATCGGTAAAACTTGTCCCGTTAAAAAAATTATCTTCAAAGAGATTATTAGTTTCTTGTGGCATCGTTATTTGTGTGATTCTGTCAAGAGTATTATTATTCGCGTCATTCATCGTTCGATTTATATGATTAGCATTCTCAGCTAAAGAATTAAAACGATTTCGTTGAGAAGTTGTTAAGACCATATTCCAAATTTTATTTGTCGCTAAATTAATTATATGTTGTCTTCGTATACGTAATCGGTAGGCTTCACGAATAATATTTCGTTTCATTAAACCTTTTCCTGTTAATCTTTGAAATCTTCTACCATTTCTTGCAAGAGCCGCAAGTACTTGTGCATTATTATTATAAGGAGGCTGGTCAATATTATTGTGAATTATGCGATTTCGAAAATCATTATATTCCTTTTGATTGTGAACTGCATACATTTTTAAAGGTTCGATAAGAACAAAATAACAAAACATCTTTTTTTAATTATCCGTGGTAGAAAAATTTTGTATTATATGTTATTAAGAGACTGATGATTCAATTTTAACGAATTGAACCAAAATTTGAAAAATGTCTCAAATAAAAATTTAAATCAAACCTGACATTTATATATGTAAATTATTTATTTTATTTATTTTAATTTAATTATAATTAATTTTATTTGATTTTCATTATTCATTAAAGATCTTATTTTGGAATCAAAACAAATAAAAGCATAATAAAATAAGATATTCAAGTCTGCGTGTTTGTTTTTGATATTTTTTAATTGAATCATATCATATGTTGTGTATTGCAAATCGAAAATCTAAATCGTAATCTTATTACTAACGTTAACGTAAATCTTATCTACTTTTTGCCAAATTTGTTCTTAATATGCCAATGATTTTAGTCGCCAAAAAATTATTTATATACTGTACGTTATAAATATTTATGGAAAGGTACCATCTCCCGATGTCTGTCTGATATCCATCCTGTGGTTAGACCGCAACAAAAAAAAAAAGAATTTTCGATTTTTTTTTTCTTTTTTTTTTTTAATAAAAAAATATGACTTTAAATTTCGGAAAAATTGCCAAAATTTCCTTACGATTAAGATGATTAAATATAGATTAAAAAATTATGTAAACTATAAAACGAAATATAAAAGAAATAATAATCTATTTAAATTTTTTTTTTTTTTTTTGGTTCTATTATCTATAGTATATTCTAAAATGAAGAATTTAAAAAAGATGTTGAATAATGTCCAGCAGGCAGCATTAAACTTTCAAAGCTATTATCATCATGGAAATTAATTCCATTAAACATGTAATTTCCAAAGGGTTGATTTGTTACTTGTGGTGTATTAATAGACGTCATCATGTTCGACATATCATCATCGCCATTGGATCGCGTTCGATTTTGAATGATATTATTTGCTTCATTGGCCAACCTTTCAAAATCATCCCGCTGAAGAGAAGTTAATCGTAAATTCCATATACTTTCTGTTGCAGAATTAATCATATGTTTATCACGTTTTCGTAATTGCCGAGCTTTTTCCTCCACATTTTTCTGCAAAAGGCCTTTCCCGGTTAATACCTTGGTTGTGAATTCGCTACTTGCATGAGCCACCAACATACTTGCGTTGTTATTATACGGAAGCTGCTGGATATTCTCGCAAGTTATAAGATAATCGATGAAATCGTGTTTTCGTGAACGTACATTTTGGTATTTTCTACTTCTTTGAGAATACATTTTAAAGTAGTTGAGGATATATTTTTTTTTTATAGAAAATGTATCGTGAATCGAAGGGGTTTTTTTTTGAACGTATATGACGAATATTGAGACTGGGCGTTTCTCTCAGAAAATTTATTACTTGAATAAAGGAAAAAAAAAATAACTTTTTTTCTACCATTAGACTTGTCATGAACTTCATTTATTTATATATATTTTTTTTTACCAGAAACATTTAATAATTGTCTTAACCTTCCATAAAAGTAAAATTCAAGCATATCGTCCTTTGGTCCATATTTGTGTAAATCAGAATGAAAGAAACGGGTTATATAACATTTACGAGAATGTAACCTTACTCGTTAGGTTTTAAAACACCAAATAAAATTTGAAACGTTGTTATCGTGAACATTTTACTTGTGATTGATATATTTGGTATCTTCAATCTCTTGGTCCTTAATTTGTTTGTAATGCATGCCGATTAATTATGCTATATTTGACTCTGGGATTTCTAATTTTGGTTAACTTTACTACAAAAAAGATGCAGGTTCTTATTACCTAAAAAGAGTGTGGGATGATATCATATGAAATATTAATTTCCATGTTGTTTATTATACGTGATACGAGATAGATCAACTTTTTCAATATGTAAGGGATCCGTTCAATATTACACAGGGAATGCATCAAATATATTCTTGAATGGTATATTTCCTGTCAAAGAAGACAAATTCATAAAAAATTGTCATTAGGTATGAGAATTTTTAATGATTGGCATTTGAAAAAAAAATATTTGTTTTCATTTGTACAGCAAGCATGGGCACATGTCCAAATTTTAAACTAAGCCCCTGTGTGGCGAAATCAAGCGAACCAATATTTTATGCATTTAGAATTAACTTTGTTAAATTAACATTTTAAATCAATGGCCCTTTGTTAATGTCGTATGTTTGCAGGAATTCATATTGTTCCAACCTTTTGTGTTACGTTACATCATTGTTTTTTGTATATTTCAATAATAAATAAATAAATAAATAAAAATATGCGACAATATATTGTTTCAAGTTTATTAGCATAATTAATTAAATATACATAACAAATGTTTGGTTAAATAATGACTCTTATGTTTTCTAAAATAAAAAATGATCATATATAATTTTTTCGTAATATTAATTAATAATGGGAAGGTACTCTTATCTATAGAATTATTTTTTTTTTTCACGTACATTAATATCTTTTGATGGGGGAAGTGCATAAAAAAAAGATCAAGGGAGTTATGGATTTTAAAATAAAATATTTTGAATCGAAAAAAAGTAATATAATAATAGATGATAAATGAACTCAACAGGAATGACTTTCAAGGAAATATAAATATTTATCTATATAGGAATGTGTTACGCCGAAATAAGTAAGTTCAATATAATTAATAACGCCGAATTGGGGAAGATCAAAAATTAGATTTAATAATAATATACATATATTCTAAGTTTAATATAAAAAAATTATTGTATATTAAAGGAAATTTGAATTTTCCCAACACCCTGGCATTATAGATTCGCAAACGTTGAAAACCGTTCCGTTATAAAAGTTATCCTCAAAACGACTATTTGTCACTTGTAAAGTTATGCCGGCGATCCTGTCCAAGGTATTTTCATTGTAAAATTGCATTCCGTTTTGATTAAAATTATTGGCATCGTTGGCCAATCTTTCAAATCTATCGCGTTGAAGGGTTGTTAAATGTAAGTTCCAGATTTTTTCCGTCGCAGATTTGATAACACGTCTATTACGAATTCGTAATCGGATAGCTTCCTTCTCTATATTTGATCTGAAGAGTCCTAACCCAGTTAATATTTTAATTATTGAATCACCGTTTCTTGCGTAAGCCGCGAGTACATTTGCATTGCCATTGCAAGGGAGTTGATAAATGATATTGTAATTAATACGGTCTATAAAATCGATTACTATCGAGCGAAACGATACATTTGGATTTCTTACAATTCTTTGTGGATGCATTTTGAGGAAAAGAAAATTTTATAGATCAGTTGTGGAAAAAAAAAACAGGGAAGTTATACGATAGTGATGATAAATCGTGGACGTTTTTATACATGATTCTTTGATAAAATCTTAATTTGTCTTGGAATCTCATTGGTGAATTCTTCTGAAACGTGAAGTCTCCGATTCTTCTTAATTTTTTCTCTAACTATTAATGTGATGCGTTCATATGTTTGTAAGATCGTAAATTATCGGCACCATGAACAAAATTATTGGTTTATCGGAGAATTTGAGTGTGGACGAACCAATACATTTAAGTTTTTAAACTAAAAATAATTCATCGCACAAAGTTAATAAGTGAATGTATCTAAATATTTGGTGCATACATTTATTTGTACTTAAAATTTGAGCGCAATTATGATGGGATGTTCAATCTAAAACTTTTTCTATGTCCTGTTGCTTTCCAATGATTAAATTTTAATTCGTTCACAATTGTTCAAAATATATTGAATAAAAAAAAAAAATAATGGTTGATTTTATTTATTTATTTATTTTAAAAAAAAATAAATACCCCACACTCGATGTAACGTAAACATAATAAACCTGGATTTCATTTTTATAATAAAAATTTGTTTAAGAACCAATAAATTTTTGTGATATATTATTATTTAATAAAATATTTTTATATTCTTATATTTAACATTAATAAAAGTCTATTGACAAAAAAAATATATTTATGGTTAGAAGATCCCCATATTGGTATATTCAAAGAAAAATACTTACTTTTGGAAAAAAGACAATAGGTGCGATACCGTATTCTATTGGTTTTATTACGCCACCCATGACAGATTTTTTTTTCTTAAATTCATGTATAATAGATCTTGGATACTCCATTAATAAATTGAAAATATTGAGATCTTTAAATTAAGGGAACCAATCACATCGTTCATCAGACAGAAACAAATTTTATTCATTGTCAGAATTCTTTTGATGGGGGTGATCTCAGCTGATGCACCCTGCATACATCATACATACTATTATTGAATGGGTTTAATAAATGAGTGTTACGATAAACAGTATACATTTTCTCATGAAATTAGTTCGTTACGTTATAATGACACTTGTCAGGATTATATATTATAATCAATTAATTTATGTCTGTCTAGTATGAATTTCATGTTTAAAGTTCAAACTTTTTTGATGATTTACTGTAACATTAAGTATTTCATGTATTTCATGTTTCCACATAATATTGTTAAGAACTTATCCAGAAATGATTTGGGTTATGTAATATGTATGCACCTGCAAAGTGATATAATAAATTACAACATTCAGCCCTGAAGATTGGAAAGTAAACACCCCCTTATTTTTACAAATTAAACGTCTTGGATGTTACAAAATATTGTTGAACAGGCTGTGCAGCACGTGAGCATGTGACCAAATTTTCATTCTATTGGTACGACATTTACCAAAAAAATTATCCATTTCCCTTTGTTTTCGTTTATATTGTTTTCGATAAATACAGTAAGTTCCAAAAAAACTATATGTTGTGTGAAATTCAATAGAATGGTAAGGTGCAATGCTTTGCATTTTGTGTATATACATTACAACATAATCCATAGTAACTTCCCAACCTTTCAGATGTTTACTTATTAAGGTTATTTCTATGGCAAACCGAATGACAAAATTGTGCTGTATGGATCAAATCCCTTTCAAATATGTAGAAAATTTAAAGTACGGCAGGAAAGAATTAAAATCATGTTATGCAATAATTTTGCTGGGACATAATTTAATGGATTTATCGTGTTGAAAAAAAAGTGACTGCAATTAAAAAGATAAATGGAAAACAAAAAAGCAAGTAATTTGTTTGGTTGGTCGAATAATAATTAATTATTTGTTTTATTAAGAATTAAATAGTTCTATATTAAATACAATTTTTATAACTCTATCGTCAAAAAGTTCATGTACTCTGATATTCTAAAAATAATGTTCTTTCATAATAAAATCTTCATCTCTTTTTTACCATTCTGTTATATTTGGAACAGAGCTCACTCATATCTTTAGGAAATTGACGTTTGGCGAGTTCGGTTGGTGATTCAATCAATTGAGCGACTAATCCCATTTCTACGTGCCACTATTATAAAAAAAAAAAATAAAAAAAAATTTAAAAAAAAATTTTTAAAATAAAAAATAAGTTTTCTTATATGGTACTTACTTCAATATGGCAATGAAAAGCCCATACACCTGGATTATCGGCTACAAAACGAATAACGGTCCATGACTCGGATGGTGAGGTAACAGTGTCTCGAACGATAGGATTTTTATAATTTAATTCACTTTCGACTACTTCGGTTCCATTTCCAATTCCAAGGACAAAAAATTTATGACCATGCATATGAAATGGATGTGAAACATTACCAGCATTGATTAGTCTTATTTCAATAACAGCATTTGGTTCTTCATCATAAACAAATGATACTTGATCTTTTGGCAATTCATTAGGATCTTCCCCATTCAATATCTTTTGAAGTGTGGGATTTTGAAAATCTGGTGAAAAACTTTGTCCATTAATAAATAAAATCGTAACATTTTTATCATTTGTACCGATCGTTGTATTCAATGTAAAAATTTTATAAACTGGCTCCGGTGCTGGTTTTGCATTTAAAGGAATTATATTTTTTATTGATAAATCTTTACATTTTTCATGTTGTTCATTGGATTCCTTTGTCGTTGGTTCATCATTTTTTGCCCCTTCATATTGAAGCATACCGACAACTTTATTATTTATAGCTGAATTAAAATTGATGGTTAAGTTGTCTCTTCTCGTACATTCTTCATTCATTGTAGCCCGAATCCAGTAATTTTTGATGGATTGATTTGCTTCGACGATTACAGAATATCTTTGCCCAATATTAATTGGAATTTTTTCGACAGTGTATGGCTCAAAATATTCCCCATCAACTTCAATGATTTCAATTTATGTTCGTCAATGGAAAATGTGAAGAGCATTTTCGCACTATGAATCATAAATAAGTGAATCAATAAATTTTTTATAATGTTTCATTTTAATTTTAATTTATTTTTATTACTAATCTTACCTTGTGTTAATTAAACGCAGACGATATTTCTGTCCTTCTTTGAATTTATAAACTGCCAACGGTGCATTCGGTGTACATTTAGACCCTTTTGTAGCAGCTGAGCAATCATAACTTCCTTTTCCGCTAATCAAACCAGAATCGGGAATCGGATCGCTGCCTTCGTATCCAGGTGCCATCCTCATAGATAACAAATTCGAAGCATTATCGTGATGCCAATCCGATAATGTAATTACATATTCTTCATCATAATTTTTTAGGTATGGATCATCTGGATCGTGAATTATTAGTGCTCCTCGTAAGCCATCAACATATTGTGCAAGATAATGTGAATGCCTGATCATTTAATGAAAGGAATGAATAATTTATTTAATACAAAAAAATTTTTTTTAATGAATGAACAATGCGAGTGAAACACGTCTTACGTACCACCAATAAGTACCGACACTATCATGAGTGGAGAAATTATAAACTAATGAAAAATCGTTTGGAATTGGACATTGCGTCTAATAATTTTCAAAAATTAAATATGCATGAAAACATTAAAACGAGATTTAGAATATATATACAATATTGATATTTATGAAAACTTACAAATCCTGGAGCACCGTCGTACCAATTTTTTTCTTTCTGAAACATACCATGCCAATGTATCGACGCAGGTTGCTCAAAATAATTTGTTACATTTACAACAATTCGATCACCTTTATTTGCTCTTATAATTGGTCCAGGATAAACATCATTTGCTGTCCATACCCTTTTTTCAAAGCCATCAGGCGACAAGCTTTTATATCTTAAGTTCAAATTATAAAATCGGGTAACCGGATTTCTGGTGAGTGGAAGATGAGTTAAGGGAGAAAAATAATCTGTGACAAGTGTACCTTGTTCATGGGTTGTAGTTATTGGGATAGAGTAACACGATAATATATGAAAAGAGAATAATAGAAATAAAATTCTCATTCTTTTATATATGTATATATATTTTTGTTAATATCTTTTATAATAATTTAAAATATTTTTTATTGAGTTTGAATTCATAATCAACACCCTTTTATAATGAAAACAAAGAATATAACTTCGCGCGAATTATATTCATTCATTACGCAAATGAGTTACTTGATAATTTCTTTGGCGCATTGCATTTGGAAAGGAAAACGAGACAAGAAATTTATTTGCATTTGTTATAATTAGGATTTCCATTTTTATTCTTTTGATCGGATGAGAATTAAAATTCCCGTTAAACTAAAAAGTTTAGATCAAAACAAGTTAGAAATTTTTTTTACGTGCGGTAGCCTCACAAAACCTTCATTATTATGAAAGTAAATTTATACAAATTACAAATAAAACAAGTTTAGACAATCAACTTTATTTATAATAAATAAAAAATGTTGTTATTTGCGGCAAAACCAAAATAATTAACCTTAAGCGGTTAAAATTTGTTTTCAAAATTTCATATGAATTTCCAAATGAAGTAACTTTTAAAAATAGCTAACTCACCAAATTTTGAAAGAATCTTTTCGTTTACTTTATTTTATTCTATTTATATCTTTATTTTTTGTTAATTAAAAAATTAAAAGAAACGATGAAATTTGACATATGGTTGGGCGCAAGGCTAGGAGATTTCGTTAGACCAGCAATCTTATTGGAAAAATTCTATGATAAAAATACATGTTCAAGTTTTAGTATGACAATGTATGAAATGAAAAATCTTAAACACGTGAATTTGTTTCACGTGATTTATTAAATGATCATTTTCAATTTGGAAATAGGCTGGGTATCCAAAATTTTTTGTGGCATAACAGGGACCATTTTTCTCATCAGCCAATCAGGATTAGATAGTTTTTTTTTGGTCTTTAACTCTAAGCCTCAATTGTCAATCCTGTTGCGCCACAAAAATTTCAAACGCATTGGTTTATTAAAATTAGCCACATTATACACATGAGTCGAGCCTTTTTTAGGGTCATATAACGATAATAAATATTCTTTATTTCACTTTTATTCTGAATAAAAAAATGATTCTATAACGCGGAGAAAAAATTTAGAGCTTTAAATAAATATATTCGTATTGATAATTACAGCCATGTTGGGTTTACATCACACAGTATAAAATATATTAAACAAAAAAAAAATTATTATGAAATTATCACCAAATTGATTTAAAACTATTTTTAAATAACTTTTTCCCTAGGAATGATTCTGATGTTCAATTCTTTACAGATGGTGATCGTTGATGTTTCAACCTCAAGGGGCGCTTTCATATCTACCAATTCAACATCATATTTCCTATAAAGCGAAGCTAGTATCGTTTTCATCTCAACAATTGCAACCTTTCTACCTAGACAAATTCTCGAACCTCCACCAAACATTGAAAATGAATTTTTATGTTGATTTTCAATCTCTTGGGGATCATAAAATCTTTCTGGATTAAATTTTTCAGGATCCTTCCAATAAAGTGGGTTGTTGTTTATTCCACGAACGTACATTATAAATAATATATCGCTTGGCCATTGGTATCCTGCTACTTCATCAGGTTTATTACTATATCTTGAAACCATGCTAACGGTAGGTCTTATTCTAGATGCTTCTTTTATTATTGCTTCACAATATCTTAATTTTTCAAGATCTTCTAACGTTATTTGTCTTGTTGTATCATTCTTGAAAACTGATTCAATCTCTTGAAACAATTTCTTTTTAACGTTTGGATAATGTGAAATATAATATAATGCGAAACAGAGAGTATTCACAGTCTAAAAAAAAAAAAAAATTTAACGTAAATCAAGTAATCCGATAAAATATTGTATAATCGTATATATAATACATTTATTACATACCGTATCTGTACCAGCCACAAATGCATCAAACATAACGCCACGTATTTCATCGTCGGTCATTGGTCTCGATAATGATGGATCAACATTTTTTTGGGGATGAGGGTCACATGGAGTATTAGCAACGATCAAAGTTGTTAACAAATCAAGTTGGTTTGAGTCATTATTTAGACCACCATTTTCGATTTCTTTTCTTCTCCTTTTAATAATATTTAGCAATCTTCCATACAGATAATAATTATTAGATAACATTGTATTCACACGACTTCCAATCAAAGGCAAATCTCTTAAAATTTTTGGTACAAATAAAATTTGATTATCTGATACAAAAATGTTTATACTTTCAACAAAATCTTCGGATTCGGCCATTTCTTTGGTGATTACATCATTTTTAATCGTACGATGATAATTTTTTATTGTAGAGATATGTTTGCTTGTTGTCAATAAAGATATAAAATCGCAAGTGAATCGACGCATCCAAGTTGACATGTCAATAACGATTGAATCGTCATCTTTTGGTTTCAAATCCATCCAACTACTTGACATTTCTTCAAATAATTGATTTAAATATTTGCTGGTACTATTAGCATAACTTAACGGCATAACAGCCTGAGAAAAAATTTGACGATTAAATTTCCAAAATTTGAAATCATGATTCAATCCTACTCCCTTTTTTTCGAGATCAAATAAATCCAAAAGACCATTATTGGCGGTTCTCATTACATGATTATTTACAGATGATAACAAAAATTTTTCAACATATTCGGCGCGAGTAATTACTATTTGTCTATTGCCAGCAATATTTAATTCAAATACACCATTATGTCCATAAATTTTGTTTAAATCATGAAACCAAGCATCGATATCGCCTTTAAAAATTGCGAAACTACCTATTAATGGCAATGGTAATGGTCCAGGAAGCGGATTAATACGAGTAAAGTGTTTATAATAAAAATAACAGACATATGAACAAATTGTAAATAATGTTGCGAGAAAAAGATCTGTAGGTTTAATAACACTGGTGAAAAATTTATATAATAAACCCATGATTTATGGTATTATTTATTTTTTATTTTATAGAGATTGAGATGGTTTTTTGAAGTTTTCGTTTTTTTTGTCGTATTATATATATATGTTTTTCTAAACATTTATTTTTTTGATAAACAAAAATAAGCATTGCGTGAAACCTATTATATTAAAAGCACGGTTTCATATGGATTATTAATTAATCATCAACAAACTTTCTTAAATTAAGACAATCGTCCAATAAAAAAAAGAAAATCATCGAAAAGAATTAATATTGTTCAAACTGTGATATGTCATGTGAAAATCTCAATTTTTTCATTTGCCATTTAATTTTTAGGTCATCATCCATTTTAGGAAATTCGTTATTAATATCTAATTACAGCACGGTTTCTCTAAATCAATGTTCCCGAAAGGACATTCTCCCGAAAACCTTTGACGGATTTATCATAATGTTTCGGGAAACGTGGCGTTAGAATCATGTCGACATTGGATCTCGATTTATGCGTTTTAATTAATGCACAAATGCGTTAATGTCTGACAAATCGGGATCCGCATTTGGGATATCCTAAATGACCATTTCAAGACATATGACCTAGGAAATTAAGGATCTATTAAAATCGAGACCTTTATTTATTGTGCCCGATATTTGTCATATGTTGATCATTGTTGTGAAGTGGTCATTCATTGAGAAAATATTCGAAATGATAATTTCGGACATTAACGCATTTGGTCTACAACAATCCTATTAATAATCATTATTCAGCCATATTTTTATCTAAGGCACTAAAATTATGAAAGAAGAATTTTAATAGGTAGTTCAAAATTTTAAGTATAAACTAAAATTTAGTAAGCATTTGCTAATAGCTTGGATAAGACAAAATTTGCCACAGTCCAATAAAAAATATTGGGCTATGTCCAATAATATTGTCCAATAGTTTTTAACATATTAATTATACTTCGTTAAAATACTAACACTTCTTGGCATGTTATGTGATAATACATTTATATATGAAGTATATATTTATAATTATATTAATCATACATATTAATAGTAATAATTATAGAATTTGTAATATAGTTTTTTTATATAATTTTATTAAATAAAATTAAAGTAATTGTTTAATTACAAAGGTTGTAGCTATTTGTAATATAAAGTATAATTTTTATAGCTTTCTTTAAATAATTATAATATTACTTTAAATGGAACTAGATATTTGTCCAATAGTCCAAAAGACTATCATTGAATAGCATAGCTAAATTTGCTAATATCAATTTTATCGTTTATTATAGGTCTCTAGACATTCGAAAGAAACACCATTCATATTAATCCGCAAAGAAAATATCGCAAATAAAATTTTCCGAGTAATTTTTCGGCAAGAATATTTTTAACGAACCTATAAAATAATCATTGGATCGATTATTGAAACATCCAAGAATTATTCCATATGATCGTTTTGATTTTGATGATGTAAATAATGTACCTCTTGTGTTTACAAGCATGAAATCTAGATCATCGGTTACCTCTAGGGGCTTACTCACCGGTATTTGTGAGAAAGTTAGAGAAAATGTTATACTGTGGTGGTGATGCAAAATTTGACGAATAAGACGACCAGATCTATCACAATAACAATCGATGGCATAATTATTAAGGTTTTTGAACATATGTAAAAAAAAAGGATCTTAATAACATGTATGTAATGAGTGTGTTTAGTTTCGCAATTCTGAAAACAGATGCACAAAGTATTGCCACGTGATATAAATTGCTATGCACAAAGTTTCTTGCGCATTTTCTTCACAATGTAAAGCCTGCAAATTAACAGCACTTCTGACTATAACGATAATTTTTTATCAAAGAAACAATTCAGTAGCATAATTCGGCGATCATTTAAAGGCTTAGACTTATTCCTGATTAGGATTAGCAGTACAAAATCGATCGATTTCAGATTTACGAATTAGTTTATTAATCTAGCGAAATAAAAAAAAAAAATAATAAAAAGCAAAAGAAAAAATAAATGGAAAAAATATATCTTACAGGGAACAAAATAAAATATAAGTACAGTCGTTAAAAATAAAGAATAAAAAAATATTTATAACGAAAACAAATGTTATGTATGTCAACGCTGAAGACCTGCAACGAGAATATATACGTGAGGATAATGTTAACTACCGATGTTTGGCCCGAATTTTGAATCCAGAGTAAATTTACTTTTGAAGGGCCACAACAACACCAAATGTATTTTTCGGATATCTGGTGAGCGAACCTTCCAGTTCTCGAATGATGGAAGGACCTCAATATCGATTAGTTTATTTCGCTCAGATTGACATTACCTATCCTTTTTTCCCAGTTCTGGACTACGAATGGAATCCCGATTATATTTCCGTTAATGTCAACTCCCCCGTCGTCCGGACCTCTAATAATTTCCAAATTAAAATAATGAAAATTACGTCATCATCGTCAAAGAACCAAGAACAACATTCACAATCATATGTAACTGTGGCCACGAAGAGCTTTAGATTTGTTGATTCATGTATCCTATTCTCCACTAATCCTCAGGCCCACCGAATGCGGGACTTCGGAAACTGGAAAGAACGTTCACGGCGAAACCGTGGCCACGATGAGCTTTCAATTCCCAGACATTTTATACCTAGTGACAGCGTAACTTCTGATACACAACGACTCAATAAATAATAACTCGGGGAGAAAACTCCATCTGTCCACTTGCATTTGATTCCAACTATTCTCAATGCAGCAATGACAGCTAATTCAAATTTCTACCCCTGGCAACAACAGACGACATGAATTCTTAAATTTATTTATTAAAAAAAATAAAGTTGAAATAAAATTTCGATTTTTCGTTTACCTTAAATTTTCTCAATTATAAGATATGGGTCATGGACTAGCAAAATGCCCCTTCGAGCCTTTTGTCAAAAATTTTTTTTATGATTTTATATAAGCTGAATATGCTTAACTATATGATAATCTAATTTTTGAACATAAACGTATAATAAATTATCGAAATATTCATATAAAACTTTCTTTTTCAAAAAAGATCGACAATCTA